AGGAATAGAGTGAAATAAAGATCAATAGAAGAAGACGGAACTACTTAAATATATTGGTCCACTCGTAAAAATTAGTAGTTTTTGTAGATTAGCTTTAAGTAGTCATCAACCACATCCCTCAAGCCACGACATTTATAATAATCGAAAAATATTGATTTCTTATAGATTTAGTAAGGGACTCTGTTCATAATATCTGTACAGTGTAAAATCGATGCCTGACTTTTTAAAGAGTAATTGGACTTAACTGTTATTTACAAATGTCAAGTTTGGAACTGCTTACATCATTGATAACAGCATACGTTTCTTTTTTCTGAATTTTTAAAACTTTTTTTAAAAATTTGTAAACCGGTTCACACTTCTCTACAGTCTTTTGAACAGGTTTATCGCCTGTTTCTGTTTTAGGCTTGGGTTTCTGGCTCCTTCTAAATCTACTTCAACTCTATCCTTCTAACGTCTCCATCTAAATTATGAAATTTTATTTACTAATTAGTTATTTCATTTTTTTCTCTTTTTGTATTCTTCTTATCAATAGGAGTGAGTGGGTTTGCCTATCGTCCGGTTCACACTCCTCCCCGGTCTTTTGAACAGGATTATAGGTTCATCCTTAGTTCTCTGTTTAGGATTAGGTTTCCGGTTCCTTCTGAAGTCTTTTCATTCTCTTTCTCTTTGGGTAACCCCTTTGCACTATCGCCTTGCTTGGGATAAACTGATAAAAAAAAGAAGAAAACGATATTTAATAGTATTAATTTATGGAAAATTTGTTCTATAATTAAAAATGAACATAATCTTTTGTTCTTTATTTAAAAGAAATATTTTTGTAAAAAAAAAAAAGAAGCCTTTTTTGTACCCAGAACAGCTAGGTTCAGATAACTCTGTAAAACATCAGGGATCAATTTTACACTGTATCGATAATATAAATAAGACAGCTTCTAAATCGATAAAATATGAATATTTTTCGATTCTGACAAATTGTTGTTTGATGAAGGTCGCGATAAGTCTGTAAAATATCAGTGATCGATTTTAAGACTGTAGTCACAACAAACATCATATCTTTTTCAATGTTAAGCCTATTTCCCAATATTAACTTTGTAAAAGATTCAATGTATATCAGTCAACGTAATATGACACATTATATGCTTTGTAACTGAATTTTTCTATGTGCTGTGTCCCTTCGGAACGTTGGCGAAATCCGCGCACTTTCCTCTCCTTTGTAGCTCTTAATAAATTATATCTTTTTACTATCTCTCCTAAACCCTGTTCTGCTATCCATTTACACAAATTCATTCTTTACATTCTTTACATTATTCGGACCGTTATAATCATCTTCATTGCCATATTCACAACGTTTCGCCTGTTGTACGCTCCGGTCTTCTTCAGGTGATTGGAATTGCGATGGAACCCTTTATTTTTTTCCATCGGGGTAGATTTTACTAGTTCCACGTACCATGCCTCTTCCAGATGTCTCAGTTAATTCCCTTTAAGTATTTTGGTTCACCACTGCTCTAGCCTGGTATTGAACTCACAACCTTTTGCGTCTAGTCATTGGATCTAACCAACGCCTTTATCCACTAGGCCATGTGTCCTTGATCATAATACTTCATCTCAGCGATATAGACATAAAATCATTCTTCTTCTATGTGCCGTGTCACTTCATGGCGTTGGCGATCATGGATCCCACAATTTCCTCTCCTTTGTAGCTCTTAATAAATTTTGCCTTTTTATCCTTCCTAAACCTTATTCCGCCATCTATTTACTCAAGCTCACTAAGTAGGTTATGCGGTGTTTTCCTCTGTTCATCTTGCTTTCAATCTGTCCTGTGAGTGTCAAATTTTCCTGTCCTCATTCTGTACTCTAGAAGTTTCCTTTTTGTCTCCATTTTCTCTAAAACTTCATCGTTGCTCACATGTTCAGTAAATGATATTTCTGTTGCTTCAAGTCGCTTTTTTTTTAATTCAAAATAATACGAAATTAAGAGTTCCGAAACATTGTAAAATTTCTTTTACTGGATTCGCTATTTTTATCAAATTCCTTTCCTCTTCCTGATCTTTTGATAGGCTTTCTATACACCATTTTTAGTTTTTTTTTTTGTTTTTTTTTAATCCCCATTTTTACCGTGAATACATAAAATTTTATTTCAACTGAGTTTTAATCAAACAACACTCTCTTGTAAATTGTTATTCTTAGTGGCGGGATTTAAACCAACGTTAGTTTTTTGTTTTTTTGTTTTGTTTTGTTTTTTGTTTTTTTCCATCGGTAGTTAATGCTAAGAGAGAATACAACAGAGAGGAAGAATTTTATAATTGGCTGCTTAATTCGTCTCTTTGATTGGCTCTAAATGAAAACAAACGATATTTTCCTCCAACCTGAGCTCGACGTTTAATTTGACTGAAATATCGTCCAGATGTTTTCGAAGGTGTAATAAAGCTAACTGGATTAAAAGTTGGAATCGGCGGGCAAGAAACGAAACGCAACGTCCCGCGCTTTTTCTCACTTGCCAAACATCAAATGTCTTCTCGGACTGCCACCAAATTTGATAAGTCCGGTTAGTGACGAAAGTTCAAGAAGAAATTAAATCGAAGCACAAAGTTGATAACCTTTAACGACTTCAGTGTCAGAAAAGCTCATATTAAGGGAGCCTATTCTAGTAGTAGGTGAGGTGAAAATTATAAAAGACCGAATTTTTATTTGCGAAATGTCTTTCCTCAGCCGCTATCGTAACAAATGCAATCTTATTCCTCAAGTTAACATTCTCTCTCTTTCTTTCGCTTTTACAAGGGACAGTTTATTTTCTAAAGAATTTCTTTTAGTTTATGTTTCCTTGACTTATATAACATTTTAACGTTTCTTTGTTCTTTTACCTTCTTCTTCTTCTTCTTCTTCTTCTTCTTCTTCTTCTTCTTCTTCTTCTTCTTCTTCTTCTTCTTCTTCTCTCTCCCTCTCGCATCCTTTCTTTCCTTTTAATTTTTAAATCGTTTTCTTTTTAACCTGTTTCCTTATATTAAACTTTCCTCATTTTCCTCTCTCTTTCTTTCTTTTTGCTTTCTTTGAATTCTCCCATTTTCATCTTTCTTTCTTTCTTTCTACTGACTTAATTTATTTTTACTTTTTTCTTTATTTCTATCTTTCTTTCTTTATATTTCTGTTTTAAATTCATTCTTCATTTTCTTTCTTTCTTTCTCTTTCTTTCTTTCTTTTTAATTATTTATTTTATTTACCCTGATTATCTTTGTTTTATTTCTTTTTCTTTTTTCTTTCTATTACTTCTTGTTCTTCTTTCTTTCTTTCTTTCTTTCTTTCTACAGACTCGATTTATTTTTACTTTTTTCTTTATTTCTATCGTTCTTTATATTTCTGTTTTAAATTCATTCTTCATTTTCTTTCTCTTTCTTTCTTTCTTTCTTTCTTTCTTTCCAATTATTTATTTTATTTACCCTGATTATCTTTTTTATTTCTTTTTCTTTTTATTACTTCTTGTTCTTCTTTCTTTCTTTCTACTGACTCGATTTATTTTTACTTTTTTCTTTATTTCTATCTTTCTTCCTTATATTTCTATTTTTAATTCATTTATCATTTCTCTTTCTTTCTTTCTTTCTTTCTTTCTAATTATTTATTTATTTCCTCTGATTATCTCTCTTTTACTTCTTTTTCTTCTTTATATTACTTTTTGTTCTTTCTTTTTATCTTTCTTTCTTTCTACTGACTCGATTTATTTTTACTTTTTCATTTCTTTCTATCTTTTTTTCTATTTCTATTTTAGATTCATTTTTCATTTCTCTTTCTTCCTTTCTCTCGTTTTTTTTCCAGTTCTTTCTTTCTTTTTATAATTCACTTTTCTTTTTCTTTTTCTTCCTTTCATTCTCTTGTTCTTTCCATCTTCCTTTCTTTCTTTCTTTCTTTCTTTCTTTCTTTTAATTCTTTCTCCTTTCACACTGTTTCTTTCTTTTAAGCTCTCATTATTTTTTCTTTATCTTCAATTCTTCGTAATATTCATTTATCTTTCTTTCTTTTTCTTTCTTTCTTTCTTTCTTTCTTTTTTCTTTCTTTCTTTCTTTTCGTTCTTTCATTCTTTCGTTACTTTAATTTGTTCTCTTTTTTCTCTCCCTGCTATTTTATTTCTTCCTATTTCCATTCTTTCTCTCCTTCTTTTTTAAATTCATTTTATTTTCATTTCTCTTTCTTTTTTATACTTTTCTTTTTTATATTCTCCCTCTCTCCCGCTTCTCTCTATATATATATATCACTTTTTTCTTTTCTTTTACGTTTTCCCTCTCACGCGAATCTTTCGTTTACATTTCGCTTTCTTCACCTTATTCATGATCACCATGAAACACCTCTCCCATATTTTTTTTGTATTTTTTTCTTCATTCTATTGCCAACGATTCTCTCCTCATAAAACACTGACCTTTGGAGACGAACCTTTCCTTCTACCCAAACCCACAAACGCTGCTACTAATTCTGTCGTTAGAACAACATTAAAAAAATAACAGCACTAATTAATAAACGCATTACAAGTTCGAAATAAATTACAATAGAATGGAAGAAATAAAAGCCGAGTAGAAGTAAGGAAAAAAGAGAAACCTCTCACAACAAACACAGAGAAGCATAAGTAAATATCATAGACAGGTGATAACCTTCTTGCCACTCTCGATCTCCCCTGCTTTTACTCTGATCGCCGTATTGTTAGAGTATGGCTGCACTAATTATTATCATCTTTCCTCTACCGCCTTTTGTTGTAATTCAGAACTGACGTCTTAGACTGCAATAACAACTTCTGTCGAGTTGTTGTTATTGCTGTTATTATTATGAAAAAAAAATGGGTGCCGGGAAAGGGCTGAGTTATCTGATCATGAATGCGAAAGATAAACAAAGTTTGTAGTCCCTACGTCAAAGGCATGTTAAGATATTCAGGCAAGTCAAGCCACTTCAACGCCGACTCAAAAACCAATTACCAGACGGCGGATCATTTATAAGGTTTAATTTCTAACGATCAACAACTTTCAATGAAACCTTGGGCGTTCCTTTCCTTTCCTTTCCTTTCTTTTCTTTTCTTTTCTTTTCTTTTCTTTTCTTTCTTTCTTTCTTTCTTTCTTTCTCACTCTCTGTATAAATGATTAAGGTTTGACTGGCTAGGTGACGGACAGTCTCCCCAGGGTCGCTAACTCAATCAGCTGCCACCTTTTTTGCGCCATGTGTCCCGGCGACACGTGGACATTGAAAATGAGTGCCTGGTAAAGTGCACCCCCACCCCTGTTTCTTAGACTTACCCGACATTAGCAATGGTGGTGAAGGGGGTGGAGGTCAATAAAAACGAATAAACAACAAAAAATAAATGAAAGGAACACCTTCCATTTTGTTCAGTAATTAGAGACGTTCCGTGAAAGTTAGCGAGGTAAGACAGCGAAACCAGGGCATAGTACCTCGTTTACACACACACACACACACACAAAACGTTTTAGGATGCAATTCAATGTTTTCACAATAAAATTGATATTAACCAACTGATGTTGGTAAAGTTTTCAGGATTTGCTTCTTATATGATAAATATACCTTTTGAATTTCAGTTTATAATATCTCTTTTTATTAGAAATATGGGTAATTTGCATACCAATTGTAATTAAAGTTTCCTGAAAATTTCCATTTAGGTGTAAAATTACATGCTTATTCGACAATGACAGTAAAAGTTTGCGGCAATCTACCAATTTGAAGTTATCGACAATAAAAATTCGCTTCGGGTCCGTCCGCCATTAATGGCGTTGTTTACATACGTTTGCCTCGAGTAATCATGCGCGGAAGCTTACTTAGTTAACGGCCTTTTTATTCATCTTCCTCTTCTAACTCTTCTCAATTATTGCGCAAAACCAAAAGAAGTCTTTAGACAATTTTGAAAGTGAAACTTATATTGGATTTAAAAAAAATGTTTAAGTTATTTAGAAAAACAATGACAAGTGTCGTTTTTTTTATTTTTATTGTGAACATATTTTAAAAGGTAGCATTTCTGCAATTGTCATTGCTATTTTGTAATAATCATGCTTAAATATTATTGCTTGAAATCGTTTTTATGTTATTATTAAGTCTCTTGGCAGGATTAAGTTTTTTTTGTTTTTTTTGTAAATAACCAAGTTTTTTAAAACCCCAAATTTAAAAAAAAATGAACCTTAAAATTGTTCTTCTTCTTATTAATTCCTTTCCAGCATTCTTTTTTTTATTTTGTAAATAATGATGATCTTTTTAAAATTTTGCGCAAAGTTTGCATATCACGTGCGCAATAATCAAGACAAGTGAAGCTTTCACGCTGCATCACTACTCGAGGCAAACGTATGTAAACAACGCCAGTAATGGCTGGCGTTAGATTTCCGCAAACTCTTACTGTTATTTTCGAAATAAGCATGCAAATTTACACCGAAATGGGAATTTCCAGCAAATTTTAATTACAATTGGTGTGTGGCGTTTAAACTTAAAATTACCCAGAAATATTTACAATAACTTTTTTGGGGTGATGCGAGATTTTATGAGACAACCTGAGCGTTGTTTATTATATTGAAATTTATATATATATATATATATATATATATATATATATATATATATATTATGAAATGGACAAAGCCCGACAATTATTTTAAGACATTTTTATGTTTATACATTCTTTTATAGATACAAATATTTAAATAAATGCCTATTTATAATAAACAGTATTAATAACATTTACCGGCCTGAATGTCCGGAATCTTCTGAAAAATGTCCTCCGAGAAAACCTGTATCCTATAGAAAATATTCATATAGCCTGGGTGCCTTTAACCGATTTGGATACCATTATCGGATATGAATGTACGTTAAGATTCATGGAAGTTTAAAGGCAATAAATTCGACCCACAGAACGCTCCTCTGTGGCCAAATCGGAAAAGGCCCGTTGGTTATTAGGGATTTCGTATAGGATAATGGTTCAGTTCTGTCGGAGGACGAATATTTTCATGAAAATTTCCGACATTCAGGCCGGTAAATGTTAAATTATAAATAAACATTTATTTTATTTGTATAAACATAAAAATGTTTTTATATATATATTACCAATGTTCACCCTATACAAGGCCTAAGAACCACTCAATATTGAGGGTTATTAAAAGATGTTGCTCTGTGTGCGGTATTTATATTCTTATTTCAGATATACAAATATTACCATGGCCATAAGAAAAACCGAAAATTCGAAGGATTTTATATATATATAAATGGAAAGCATTTGTTTTCTTATATATTCTTGGCCTGTTTGCAATCACATATTTTTATACACTTTTTGGAATAATAAAAAATCGAAAACATCGCTACGTGAAATGACATATCTTCTCAATTAAGGCTAGTTGTTATTAATTTCAGTGTTATTACGCCCTGAAGATGACAATTTGAAATTGTCGAAAGTACTAGGCCCAGGATTATTAATTCCATCTGCTAATTAATTCATATAACATTGCCAATTAATTCATTGTATGATTACTTTTTTTATATAATATATATATACTGCACACACACACACACAGACACACACACACACATATGTGTGTGTGCCTATGTGTGTGTGTCTATGTGTGTGTATATAAATAGAAAGCGTTTGTTTTCTCATATATTCTTGGCCTGTTTGCAATCCTATATTTTTATACACTTGTTGGAATAATAAAAATTGTAAAACATCGCCACGTACAATGACATATCTTAGCAACGTCCGATTGTGACACATAAAATGACCCTCCCGAATGCAGGTTGACACGATCTCAGCATACGTTAAACATTTAAGTGACTAAAAGCCTCAATGAAACGTCGTCTCCCCTGCCGGACGCCAAAGGCACCGACCTTCTTTTCCAGTTTCTCTCTATTTTGTTCGTTTGACGTGACACGATGTAAATATAAACCACTTCAGGATTTGTCCATTTTAACATACCATTGGCTCATTATCTATCAAGAAGTCATTGCCCCCAGAAATAAGTCCATTAAAATAAAAGAGCTCAATTCGAAGGATTTTATAAAACATTTCTTTCTTATCTGTTTGTATAAAGGCTAACATTCCCGGCTGACATGAAGTGGAAAGATTATGCTGAATGAATTGTTCAGTCTGCTGCTAAGTTAGTTCACTGTGTCGTGCGAGACAATATTTGTCTCCAGAATCTGTCTTCTTCTTTTTATGTGCCGTGTCCTTTCAGGACGTAGGCGATCATGGCTCTCCACTTCCTCCTATCCCTTGTAGCTCCCAATAAATTTCGTCCCTCTGCCACCCCTCCAGACCATATTCTGTGATCCACTTGCTTAAGCCTGCCAGGTATACCATGCGTTGCTTTCCCTTGTCTCTCTTTCCCTGTATTCGACCGGTGAGTATCAGATTCTCCAAGCCCCACTTTCTCTTACATATATATGAATTTACTATTCTTCCATAAATAGAATATTGCTGTCCTATATGATATGGTGTTTCTGTTATATATTTAGAGATTCTTGATAAAATCCAAAAGAAGAATCAGCAATATTATTAGTCTTGGTCTGGCATCTCAGCTTCAGCCACTTTCCCAACACCGTAATGTAGCTTCTTTGTGTCTTTTCTATAAATATTGATGAACTCTCTGCTATGACACCAACCCAGACTCTATGAATTTTAACACAGTACTAGATTGGTGGCAATGTCTCATCAGTTCACAGTTGAATTGGCTAAATGTAACCGTGGGTTCTTTGCGAAAAGTTTCTTTTCTCGCACTTATTGCATGTGGAATTCTCTTCTGGTTCCATCCGTTCCAGCTAACTTTGATCTTTAAAAACTTAACTGCAATATCAATCGTTATCTACTGTTTTCATGATTACTCTTCTATTGTTCTCGCTCCTTAATAATGTTTCTCTTTCTTCTTTCACATTCAGTAACCGCTTGTGTATTAGTAGCTTTACTTCCTTGCATGCGGTGAAATTATATATATACTACTACTAGTGCTACTACTGCTACTACTGCTAATAATAATAATAATAATAATAATGATAAAAATTAACGCATCACTGCATAAAGATTCCTTAAAATTTTCGCGCATTTTTGTCTTATCTCTCTTGCTGGCAAATGGTAATCCTTGGGCTGGTGGATTTGAAATTTTAAGTTACCCTCTCCCCCCCCCAAAAAAAAAAACTTGGATGCCCTGCACTAATGGGCTAAATAGTTTCTGCATCCTAGCTTAGTAGGAGTTAATAAAACTCTAAAATGTATTAAACATGCTAATTATTAAATCCAGAGGGTTACCACAAGCTTTTGGCCTATAGTATGTCTATCTATCTGTCTATCTGTCTATCTATCTATCTATCTGTATGTATATATATATATATATATATATATATATGTGTGTGTGTGTGTGTGTGTGTGAGAGAGAGAGAGAGAGAGAGAGAGAGAGAGAGAGAGAGAGAGAGAGAAGTGTGTGTATTATATTAGTAATGAAGTAATGCATTTTTATTTATCAATCCTACAGATTTTATTGCTTAAACATTATTTTTAGTGGATACTAATAATTGAGTAGACGTTCCGTTTATTTATTAAACAGTACAGGGAAGGGCTGCAAAAGTAGGTATACGGTAATTTCGCCGGATCTCTTCCCCGTGGATTTATTTTTTCCGGATGTGTGTAAATGTTAGATAATTGTTTTTCATTACTGTATACCTACTTTTGCACCCCTTGTATATTTATTTATTTTCGTCTACGGGCCTGAATATTCAAGAAATCATTAATCACCTGAGAGACCCTTTGCTGTCTTCCATCAGCATGGCTGATCCGATCCTCCAGGAAAGTGACTCGTTGCGTCTTCTCAGAGTCTCTCCTCGGATGAAATGGAAAGGCTATATAGAGAACTTTGGTGTGCTCAGATCGAAGATAAAGTCTGCGATTGATTAGAGAAAACCTGAATATAAACGGGGAACAGTGAGGCAGATTCTAACAAAGGATTTTGAAATGAGAAGAATTTCCTCGAAGATTGTGCCTCGAATCTTGATTGATAAACAGAAACAATGTTCACTATTTACATTATTCGGACTATTTTCCTCATCTTTGTCGCCATATTTATTACGACGTTTCGGCCGTTGTACGCTCCGGCCTTCTTCAGGTGGTTGAAATATCGAACTGAACCCTTTATGTCGTTCACTGGGGTAGACTGTTCTAGTTCCACGTGCCATGTTTAATGGATGTCAGTTATCAGTTATCTCCTGTTAATTCCCCTCTCCAAGTTCTCCATTGCCTTAACCGGGTATTGAACTCACACTCTTTGGATCCTGTCACTGGATCTAACACCTTCACTAACGTTCTCAAGAACACATGACACAGTGGATAAAGGCGTATTTACAAACTTCGGCACATTTATAAACACAAAAAACAAAAAAATTAAAATTATTTTTAAAATACTGGGGTCGCTGAACTGTAGTAAGTTTTTCCATTTATGATTTCTAATATAGTTTTTACTTAATAATAATACCACCTAATCGGTACATATTAATACAGAATTTGAAAACATTTAAAACTTTATAAATTATTCAAGTTAAATATTTTTTAAAATGTAGACAATTCTTGTAAAAATCCAATATACATTGAAAACGTTTTTCTTTACGACAATAATGTGCATAAAATATATTTTTCTTAAGAGCAATTAAAATCTTTTCTAATTCCATATCTTAGTATTATTGCATTTTTATTTTACGATTCAGAGCGGATTTTCGGCAACTGCTGGTCCTGTTTAAAAACAAAAGAAGATGATTTAAATTCTCTAAATATTTGTTTAAAACTATAAATATTAAAACCTATAAAAATGAATTTCTCGAAATTTCATAAAATCAAATCAATTGAGGATTAACAAACGTAAAAAATTTTTATGAAAGTCTCTAAAAATGAAATATTTCTCAAATAATTTCATTCATTTGTGAATAAGTTCTGAAAGTTTAATCAAAATCCGACAATTATTTGATTTTTACAAGAATTTCCAAATCAGTGTGTTTTTCACCGCAAAAAGACGGTCAAATTTACCTTACTAAATTATGTTAACCCACTGACGCAAGAAAAATAAATCAACCAAATTTTTGAAGATTCTAAAAAGAATTAAAAACTATAATGTAACTAGCAGCATGGCCCGGCGTTGCCCGTGCTTGATTCAAAAATCGTACGACTCATACAGCAATCGCTATCGCTTGACTTAAAATATTTTTATGCTTCCTTGCCTTTAAAGAAGTTACCTTTGCCATGCTGATGTTGCTACATACCTTACTTCTTGCCTATCTCACACTGCAAATTTTTTCTAAGCTCTATACTAAACATTAAATCTGTTACGAAAAAAGACCTAAACAAAATGAACACAAAACAATCAGCTTTAAAAAAGGATTCGTAACTGGAAAAAACGAATGTAAAAGAATGTTAACAACAAATACTTTTTCACACCCAACCCAGTTTTGCGGAATCAGAATCAACGTTGAGTTTAAGCAAGCGAATGAGCCAATTGGAGTAAAGTGCCATGAAGATTTAAATTTTTCCCACTTGTGACGAATGCAGCTTTCGATTTTTTTTGCATCCTAGCATTCTAGTTAACATTCGTGTCAGTCAGCTGTTGGCTCTCACGCTGGCCAATAGAATCTTCCTGCCTATTTGTGGCAGCCAGCTATAGGCTCTCACTGTGGCCAGTACAAAATGGCCTCAAACTACATGAAAACTGTCGATGGGAGTTGGGAAATGCAAAGTCGGTCTTGACCTTCCCGCTAATTTGGAGCATGTGCATGAAGATTTTGGTGCAAATCCGTCGAAAATGGCGGCCGTGAATTCGTTACACACGCACACATCCTGTCTTTTATAGATAGAGATAATGTAATAAATTTAATAATATAAGAAAGAAAATTACCATATTGAGGCATATTCATTTTATTCCGAGAATTTTCGAGATTAGCACAATATCTTCATCAGGATCTTGTTTTTTTCTTAGACAAAATATTGTTGTATTCATCATTTTTCTAATTTAAGAACTGCTGTGTTCATCTGAAATTTAAATTTTTACGTGTGAAGTGAAAAACGCTAAGGTTATGTGTTGTACAATTTTAAAACTTTATCATGTTTTTTTTCTTTTTAAAAAATGTTTAAATATTTCAATAACTCCCTTGACGTCTGCACGTGGTGTGCCTACATAAGAAATAAAAATACAAATGAATATGCATCCACGTGTTAATTTTCTTTCTTCTTTTAATAAAGATACTAAGAAACTTGTCCGTAATTTTCTCTGATTTAACCAGTAGAGAAGACAATATTTATGAATAAAAATGACAATAGGAAAACTCGTATTCGCGTTTCGTCCAATGTGGACTTTATCAAAGCAAAATACGTATATATATATATATATATATATATATATATATACTGTGGGAGAGAAAGAAAGATATCTAAAATTCAACTAATTTAGTGTGTGGTATAGAAAATGCCCCCCCGCAAAAGTGTGGTTGTTAATAGCGGTAATGTGATGAAGATGCTGACCCCATTCTGAGCAGAAAGAGGTTCCGTTTTAGACAAATGTTGTTCCTTCTTTGATTGTATCTGATTGTACAAGCTGGACACCATGTGTTCAATCATGTTGTTACGGAAAGGCCTAGTCGGTCTCCATATATCTTGACAGTGGTAAATGTCATCAACATCTCTAAAAGATATCCCAATTCTATGATGAATGAGGTTAACGGAAATCTCAGTAGGAAAGAAAGGTAAACGCTCTGCCCACTGCTGAGACGCTGCCTCGCATCAGCTAAAAAGGGAAAAAAACTGCTGTTTTTATTTGTGTGTGTCTGCCCCACAAGCAGCGATGATTTGTCGTCAGAGTCGCTTCTTCTTTAATTAATCAGGACGCAGATGGGAGTACAGGTAAATCATGATTTAACCAAAACCAATTTGACTTTACCTGAATCGGATTGTTTAGATGAAAACAGGTGGAAAGGTGAGTGAATTGCTGACTGAATACAAAGAGTGTCACAATTCAGCATTTTAAAGTGTTTCTTTCGTTAATTATTCAACTGTCTTTTCAAAACCCCATGGCCTCAATTATTTCCATCTTGTGCGGAAAAATAAGTTGTCACTCATAAGTATTTATTTTTCATCCGACATTTTTATTACTTCGAACGTTATTATAATGGCGACTTCACATTTGAAAATGACGCTCCATTTTATTTATTAAGCACAGTGTGTATCAGACCATCAACCTGCTCATTTGAGAAATCTTAGTAAAGAAAATATGTTCAACGGTAGGGATCGAACCTGCGTTCTCATTTGTCGGGCATACCACCGCTTGAACCCGCGTGTTTTACGCCACCGGCATTCAGGCGCTATTTTTCTTTTTAAGGAAAGCACATCCACTTCCTTCTTTTTCGTATCTGAAACATAAACAAAGCAATTACTAAAGAATTAATGGATTTATTTTAAATCCGACATTTTTTAATGTCTTGTAAAAATAAAATAATAAAAATAAAAAATGCCCACTATAACAACGTTCAAACAATATATATATATATATATATATATATATATATATATATATATATATATATATATATATATATATGTATGTATTCATGCATTTTTGGTTGAATAATCTAGACATATTATGTTTATTTTTAATTTAATCCTCTCGAATTCATGGATCAATTTCTTACTGTTGTTATTAAACTCATTAAGGAAGGCGCCTTAGTTTTTTTCTCATTTCTTTTATTTTCATAAGTACTTTTAATCTCATCCAAGATCATTTTCAGGGATGAATTGCTAAGACAAAAATTACTAAGAGTTTTTAAGTTGATTTGCTATTTCAATCTGCTTCTTCACAAAATTACGTTTAATTTGCCAAATGTTGGTATTATGATGAACTTCTGGATCATGTAATTTAAAATATGTATATTTAGGCAGCATATCTTCATTCAAGCATGTTTGATTGAATAATCTAGACATATTATGTATATTCATTTCTAGTTCAAGGCAAATGTAAGGGTTTATATTGTTGCACGTGTTTATATACAAAATCAAGGATGCCATTGGTTTATCAAGGCTTTTAAATTTGAGAACGTTCATGAATATTTATCAGGTGGCTGAATAGTCAATCAAAACATATAGAGGACACAGAGAGCCGTAATTCAAAATCTGGTAAGTCTGGTATATATATATATATATATATATATATATATATATATATATATATATATATATATATATATATATATTCTCTCTCTCTCTCTCTCTCTCTCTATATATATATATATATATATATATATATATATATATATATATATATTGTAGCATACCTACAGACGATAATGTATA